AATTATCCCAGGAGTGAATCCAGAGTCAGGCAGTGATCAAATTACCTTGGTTTTCTTCTGAAGTTAATGCAAGGAAGTCTTTCAAAAAAACAAAAAAAAATCCAAGCAAACAAACAAAAAAAACAACACAAAACAAAACAAAAACAGAACAAAAAAAAAACAAACAAAAAACCAAAACCAACAAAGTAGGGTTGGTTATAACAGTGTCTGTGCAGTACATTTGTAGCGCTTGTGATGAGCAAGTGCAATGTATGCCAATTACAGAAATGGTCTTTGGGAAAAAAAAGACAGGGAAAAAAAGATAACAAGAATGTTGTTCAGTAAAAATCCCACCTTTAATGCAAATAAAAGGTGAGGATTATGTTGGAAGAGAAAGGAAGGGAAAAGGGTGGTGAAAAACCTGAATATGAATCAGAAGTGTCATTTCAATGGGAGGAAAAAAGTAACGTAGTCCTGATATATGTACGGAGCGTAACCTGTGACAACAACAAAGTAATTGTTCTGCTTTATGCAGAGGCAGTAGCAGCCTTGCTGGGGTTTGTATCCTAATCTGGCCAGAGCATTTCAGGAAAGCTGTGTGCCAGCTATAGGGAGGCAGGAGAGAATAGTAAAATCAACCAGAGGTCTAGAAAACGTGCTCTGCAGTGATAAACTGATATTATTTTGTATGAATATAAAAGAGGGGAAACTTGAAAACAGTATTCCACTACATGAAAGACTACTTCAGAGAGGAAAATAGTTTATCCTTTTTATCCATAATGGGTGGCATAACATTAATGGGTGTAAGCAAGGTTCGTATTAGATGTTTGGGGAGACAGGGCATTAACAGTTCAAGTAGTAAGTTGCCTGAGACCAATGTAGAGTATCCCAGATGGTAGATACACAAAAGTTAAATGTCTCTCTAAAGACTTAAATGAAACATGGATCAGGAATAAAAGAAAGATTTGATCGTATCTTGGAACAGGAAATGGGTTTGATGACTTGTTGAAGTTCTAAGCAACCTGTGATTGCTCTGAGAGCATTAAAATAGAAGCCTTCACCTTGCTTTTATCTTAATATACCTAAACCAGCACTGAGCACAGAGCGGAAAAGTCTATCTGTGTGACTGAGAGAAAAAAAGGTGATTCTGCCCAAAAGAATGAAACAGAAGGTGCGCAGAAAAATGGGACACTGGTAGTCCAGTGTTTAAGTAAGATGAGATTTTCTTAATGCTTTATCCCTGTAGAGGACAGGTTTCTCAGTAGTACACACAGATACCCAAACAATGAATAGAAATATTTGGGGATTTCACTTTCAACTGTAAATCAGTGTACAAAGGCAGAAGTCCTTTTGCTCCAGTTAAAGTTCTAGGACAGCAGTGGTGATGGTGGGGAGGGAGTGAAGCCTTTCCATTAAGTTAACCTGTATTTCCCAGGGCTTTATTTCTATTTTAGTGAACATAATGGCTGTGCTTACCAGGAGCTTCTCAATGTACTTGCTAATGAGAGAAAGAAAATAGATTTGGGATTGGTTTTAGAAATCTTTGTGTTAGATGTTCTATTTCCAAACGACTTACCTCCATCTCTGTGTACTAAAAGTAGATTCACAAAAGCCTTTTTAATTTGCCAGTGGCCTAAGTAGTCCTTTTTTTTTTTTCCTGCTGCTATGTGATTTTACTGCTATAGTTTGGAGGGTTTTTTACCACATTTTCTACGCAACCAGATGTGCAAGAAACTTGAGGTGAAAGATGATGAAATGGAGCAAATACCTCTGAGTTTTACTAGCTGCTACTTTTGTTCTGTAGGAGGAACTCTGTAGCTGGGAGTCCTCCCAGATGAATAAGCCTAGGAAGGGTTGGGGAGAATGAAGGCACTTGTGATTTGGACATCAAACAATCTTTCTTCAGCTCTCTAAGCAAATGACTTGGAGCAGAAAGTATGTTGCAAATAACAAAAACAGCCGCCAAAAATGCTGACCCATAGAGAAGAAGATAAAGATCAGTATAGGGCTTATTCTTTGGGATGCTGAGCACCAGCATGGTCTGACAAGTGCTAACTTTGGGAAATAAGTATGGCTACGCATGTTGCAGCTGGAGGACTCATGTTGTAGCATGAGCCTGTTGGCTTTCTAGCTGGCACCACAGAGGTCCTCACTCCTGTACTGAACTTTGTTTATTCAGTGATTTTGTTCACCTGTTTTCTGTTCTGCAATTATCATCTTGATGTTGCATAATTTTAAGTAATAGTTTTTATTAACAAGTAGAAATCATAAATCAACACATACTTTTGCTCGCAGAGACTTTGCTTTCTCTTCTTCCCAAATAGTGCATTTCCAAAATAATGTATATAGTATTGTCTCCAAATTGGAGAGACATCAATTTGATGGATGGACCACTTGAAAGATAAAGAACTGGCTGGATGGCCGCATGCAAAGAGTTGTGGTCAATGGCTCAATGTCCAGCTGAGACCAGTAACGAGTGGTGTCCCTCAGGGATCGGTGTTGGGACCTGTCTTGTTCAACATCTTTGTCGCTGACATGGACAGTGGGATTGAGTGCGCCCTCAGCAAGTTTGCCGATGACACCAAGCTGTGTGGTTCGGTTGATACCCTGGAGGGAAGGAATGCCATCCAGAGGGACCTTGACACGCTTGTGAGGTGGGCTGATGCCCACCTTATGAAGTTTAACCATGACAAGTGCAAGATCCTACACCTGGGTCAGAACAATCCCAGGCACAGCTACATGTGGGGCAGAGAAGAGATTCAGAGCAGCCCTGTGAAGAAGGACTTGGGCATGTTGGTCAATGAGAAACTAAACATGAGCCGGCTTCAGTGTGCGCTCACAGCCCAGAAAGCCAACCGTATCCTGGGCTGCATCAAAAGGAGCGTGACCAGCAGGTCAAAGGAGGTGATCCTGCCCCTCTGCTCTGCTCTTGTGAGACCTCCCCTGGAGTATTGTGCGCAGTTCTGGTGTCCTCAACATAAAAAGGACACGGAACTCTTGGAACAAGTCCAGAGGAGGACCACAAGGATGATCAGGGGACTGGAGCACCTCCCATATGAAGACAGGCTGAGAAAATTGGGGCTGTTTAGGCTGGAGAAGAGAAGGCTGTGTGGAGACCTCGTAGCAGCCTTGCAGTATCTGAAGGTGGGCCTGTAAGGATGCTGGGGAGGGGCTCTTCATTAGGGACTGTAGTGATAGGACAAGGGGCAACAGGCTAAAACTTAAACAGCAGAAGTTTAGGTTGGATACAGGGAAGAAGCTCTTACTGTGAGGATGGTGAGGCATTGGAAGGCATTGCCCAGGGAGGTTGTGAATGCTCCGTCCCTGGCAGTGTTCAAGGCGAGGTTGGACAGAGCCTTGGGTGACATGGTTTAGTGTGAGGTGTCTGTGACCATGGCAGGGGGGTGGAACTAGATGATCTTAAGGTCCTTTTCAACCCTAACTATTCTGTGATTCTGTGAGTGTCTGAAAGGGGCAAGGCAGATGGAGCAAAGCCTGTGAGCTCACAGTGACTTCAGCTGTAAGCACCTATACTGTTAGTGGTAAAGCTATAACTGCCTCTAGGTTTGTGGGTTTGCACAAAATTGTATCTTTTTTTGAGACATACCATTTTATATTTACTTCTTTGGTTAAAATCAAAACCTCTGTTGCATAAATGCTAGAATGAATTTCAGCATATAATTTGGATTACTTACAGAGGTGCAAACCATAAGCAAATAGTTGATTTGAAGAATTCAGCTTTTCTTGGTTTGTATTCAATTATATGATTGTTTTCCAGTGGGAGAGGCAACAGTTTTCTCTGCAGCTTGTCTGCTTTCCTTAATCTGCTTGATAGAGGGCGCTTCAATTCTAGATAGGCGGTTTTTGTTAAAGCCTGTCTGCCTGGGGTAGGGAGTTACTGGCTCACACCTGAGCAAAAGACTATTGTATACAAGCACGTAATTGAGATTATACACCAGCAGAGTCATTCTTCGTTGTGCCTCTAAAACACCCCTTCCTTTTCCAGTTTGCAGTAATAATTCATCTTCACTGTGGGGAAGGAGCAGGGTGCTAGTCGCACACCTGTCCATGACTTCCAGAGTTAGATGTGCTCTTTCATCTCCGTAACAGTGATGCATTTGTTACAAGAATGCAACCTGTACGTGATTTAGATCACATCTGAGACGTGCTATGTCTGTAATGAGTCTGATTGGGATTCATTAGTTAGGACTACACTGCTCAAAAGGGGATTCAACCTCTCACCCATTTCTTATTCTTCGCAGTTGGGAGGTAAGAATTTCTCAAGCTGTTTGAGATGGACTTTGATTTAATCTTTTTGAAGAGCACTCTATGTACAACTGAGAAATCATTAGAAATGCTGCATAGTAAAAGAAGAGCAGTCTCCTGGCAAATGGATGTACAAGCCAGCTACTGTGAAGAGTGCAGTGTAATCTATTTTAGCTTAAAAGAGTATAAATGCTGCTTCTGAAAAATCCTGAAGTAGCAGTGCTTTCATCTTCAAAAAACACAGCGTACACTCCTTAACGATGTGCATCCTCATTCTGCAGGTGAATACACCTGTAGGCATCTTTCCTGACTGATGAAGATGTAACAGTATTTGTGATCTGCCCAGAACCATTTTCATCCAAAGCTACTATTCCAAGGCCTTGTCACACATGTTTCCTCTTCTTGCTCCTTTTTGAGCCCACTTTTTGAATCATGATATACTCTTACTGCTCTTTCTTGTTTGCACCTATCTTTAAGTTTCACTTTTGACTTCTCACTTTTGACTTCTCACTTTCATGCTTCGCCTTACTATTTCCTTCTATAGAAAGGAGAAGTCCCCAGGTAAAGCACCATCACCAACACCGGCTTTCTCCCAGGAGAAGAGGTTCCTCCGGGCTCTCTTTATAGTACAACACCCTTGTGTTGCCTGCCTTGCTGTGACATGTAGATATCTATATAATGGATGATAACAAAATTATTAAGTTGCATGCTGTTAAAGAACATAAATAACTTTTCCCAATATTTCATTCCTTTAGGCTATCAGTCTGTGACACTACAACAAACTCTGCTGAAGTATGAAGGAGGCTCAGAAGTTCACGTAAGTGTGTATCTTCACAAATGTGAATTGCAAAAGCAGCCATTAGCTCTCTAGTGCTTTTAAATGTAAGGGAATTGATACAAAAGGAAACACTTCTGTTTCCTAGGGTGCAAAGATTCCAGAGGCAGGAAAAAGATAACAATTAACAAACAAGGTTAAAAAAATGCAGCAGGTAAGAGTTAATTGTCAGTATTTGACTTCTTCATAGCAGTGACAATTTATAAGAACAGTGAATCACCCAGGAGTCTAAAAAGAATGATAATGCTTTGCAACTTGCTGTTCTTGGTTTCTCTTTTTTTAGAGAGGGCTTACATTCAGGATGTTCCAGGCCACAGCAAGGACCAGTGGCTCACTGTGGGGACTGGAGTAGCTCACTGGTCCCCACTCTAGTGGCTGCAGACTATGAGGCCTTTGAATGTATTAGCACCCTCAGAGTCCTGGCATCACATTTTAGCGCACAAATTTTCAAGCATTATTTTGTTGTGTTCTCAGTTCCCAGTGGTTTTAGATGCATTTGCAGATCTATTTTGTATTCCAAAAATAAACACAGCATTAACTTAAGGCGTGGACAGCTCTGCTTGTGGTAATTGCATAGACAATTTGAGAATTGCATGAGGTTTAAAAGCCATAGAAGTACTAAATCATAGCTGAAATTATATAATCGTATGGATTGCTGCTGTATTGATTGATTGTTACTCTTATGTGCAAGATAAGGCAAAGTATACTGTATGTGCTGTAATGCTTTTGTCTGCTGGGCCTAATCTAAGTTTTATCCCAGGTTTTATATATTCCATCAGTAATGAATTAATTGTATATGCCACAGCAAATGTATGACAAAGTTATTAGCAGTATGACTGATTCTGCATCCGGTACGTACCTGAAAACCAAAGCACAATTATCTCAGAGACTTCTTACTGCACTAGGTCCTGCTGTTTTGATATTAACTAAACATTAATGTTATGTTGTTTATTGTGTAAACAGTCAGCTTTACTCACCCCTATTTTCCCTTTTTCTTGCCTTAATATGACTTTACATATGGGGAAAAAAAGAATTCTTGCTTGCCCATGAAGTCAGATGGTCTGCTGTATGTTTTAGCTTGGGTACACGAAAGTGATGTCTGTTTGAAAGAAGGAAATCACAAGGAAAGTGCAGTGCTGTAAAGTCTGTCAGGGAGTGTAGCATTTGGGTTTGGAAAAATCCCATTGCAGTAATCCATTGAATTATCTGGAAGGTTTTCAATGCAAGGGAGTAATTAGATGAGATCCCAATTTTAAAATTTGTATTTAACATTTATGGCTATTTCTGATACTTTATTTTCTTTTATTTACTGCCCTCTAGAGGTCTTGCAAATGAAATTAGACCAAGGGAAAATAAGGTTGCAATGGTGACTGTATCTGACCGGTGCTGCTATGCACTGGTTTATACAGTGTTTTAAAATAACTGCATAGATGCTCCTAGAGCTAAATGCCATTTTGCATAGTCACGAGGAGAGGGAAAAATATTTATGGTGGGAGAAGTTCAGGTTTTAATATAGTGACTGGCAGTGCCAGCTTTTGTGAGTACAAAAGCAACTATATGACATTCCTTTATAAGGGACTACATGCTTTATTACAGGTGATAAGACTTATGGCATAAAGTTACGAGTACATCAAAACTTTTTCCATTTATTGCTTTTTAATATGTCCTCATTAAAAACATTTTCATGGAGACATCATCTTTATAGATGAACTGCAGAATTGCATCTAAACCTAACAGTCTTGCTGTTAGAACGGTGAGGCCAAGTGTCCTTATGGCTTCGTGTCTCCTCGGCAGGCTCTGGGTGCCCTCACAAGGCGTGTCTCTCTCACAGAGAGTTGGAATGACTGATGGACTGTTCTTGCATTTAATGAACATGAAGTGTAACCTGCAGCACATCCCGTTGTAAGGATCTTCATGAATCACTCTTCCCTCTCTGGCTGCCTGCTTTCACAAAACGCTTTGCATCTTTATAGCTTTGATATTGCTATCAAAGACATTTTGGGGAAAGACAAAAAGGCATGACATGATTGTGTGAACCTCGCTTCTTGTAGCAATACAAGTGAAAATAGAAATGTGGTCTTTAAAATATGGCAAGACTTCAGTTCAAGCTTTGCGCACCCACTGGTGCTTGGTATCAATCTGTTAAATAAATATAAATTAATATTTAGCTCTTTCATCCTTTATCCACTGGCAGTTGTGTATCACTCAGCATAGATACCTATAATCCTATTGCTGAGCCAGTTAAGGAAATGGCAGTACTTCTGGGCTTTGTGTTTTACTGAGGAAAACTCTATTCTGTACTTCTCCAAGTGTGCTTCTGTGAGAAGTTTTTTAAGGCACTGTGTTTTATCTTTGAAGTGAAGCAAAATAAAGTTGGTTGGAGCAACCTTGGCATCCTCCCTGAGCAGAGGAAGGCCAGCCCCGGAGGAGAGCAGCCTTTGGGCTGCTACTGCACAACCAACCAGCAAGGAACCTGCTGGGAGATTTTTTTGAATGGACTAAAGTTGTTCTATGTTGAAACAGTCAGTGCTGGGGACCCAACATCTACCCAACAAGAAGTTTTGTGGAGACTGGCTGTAGCCTGGTCCCCTGAAGGGCTGGCCCTCAACAGCTGGAATAGCCAGGTCATTCCTGGATTTTTATCCAGGAATACAGTTTTGTGCTCCCAGAGTGTGCTCTAAAGTGGGGACAATGAGGACAGTCACTTCAGAAGTGCATGTGTGGCCTGAACTATAGCACTCTTATAGCAACACCCTTGATATATCAGTATCTCTATCCTCAACAGAAAAATAAGATTAATCATGGATCTCTGATGCAGTAATTATGTAGCCTCTGTAGATTTATATATGATACTTATCTCCATGATTTGTCTCTTCTGTGTACATCCATAATTTTATTTTCCCTGTTCAGGATACAGTTATAGATAGTTTTACGGGCTCTGCAATTTGAACATTAGTTGAATTGTATCTCAGCACTGGGCCATTCCTCCCCTAAATTATACTTCCTAAAGGAGGGAAATTTAATCAGCTATTACAGTTCTGTAGTGGCGCAAGTAAAGCCACAGCGATAACTAGAGCTGCCTCTGTTCACCAGTGTTTGCTGCCTAAGTGGGCATCTGGAATTAGTTATCAGTTTTTGAAACTTAGCTGTGGATGATGGATATGGAAAATGAATTCATGTAGATCTGCAGCTTTGCATTCTTTTTCTTAATTTTCCAGCTGATTGGGGATTTGTTGTATCACAGAAAAAATTGTCTTTCTTGGTATCAAAGTCTAGAAGCATAAATAAGCCATTGCAAATTGTCACTTACAGCAAAATGTTTTATTATTGATGAGATTTGTGAGATTTAAAGAGGAAGGAGCACTGAAGATTACAGTCACAGAAATTAATGTAATGAAAGTGTAAAATACCTAAGGGGAATTATTTCAAGTAACTATAGGTAATAATGATATGAAGAGATACAAAGGTCACATAGGTACATTTAGAATGCAGGCAGATACAGCAACAAGGTCTGTGCTCATGGGCTGTAGACCCTTTTGGAGAATCAAAGAAAAAAAATTCCTTCCTTTCTTCAGTGTCTTCCCGTATGCCAGATCCTTTCCCTAGCAGCTGCCTGTTGGAAGCGTATTGTTCTCTCAGCTTCTTGATTGTTCTCTGTCTGACCTCATGCACTGACAGTACCAGGGAAGATCAGCTCATGACTTCTGGTACTGCTTTATGTTGCCTGCTTGAAAACTCATTTGGATGCCTGGGCTTCTCATTCTCAGTTAGGAACACACTGACTTTATCCAAATGATGAACATCCCAGTATTTGGCAAGAAATGTCTTGGTTTTTTTTATGGCTGCACCAATGTAGTTAAGTTTTCTGAGGGTAAATGTTGAGAAGTGGAAAATTTTATGTGTCAGCATCAACCCGAAAGGGTCTTCCAATAACGCATCAACTTTAAGCTAGAGAACAAAATAGATAGTATCTGTTAATTGCAGGCTATTTGATTTTCAGATCAGAACTTATTTTTGCAGGTAACAGAGAAAAGTCTAATTTTGTTTTCATTTGACCCCCAGCAACTGTCTCAGTTAAGGAACCTTTCCCACAAATATATTGCTCTTAACATTAATTATACCTGCAGATGGCTTTCCTATACAAGTCCTTTTCTGCATGCCTACATATAATGACAGGTTAGTATAAATCCTAATGTTTTCATTAGAAGATACAACAAAGATAAATTAAAAGCAGTTACCCTTCACTGATCACTCAGCTCATTAAGAAATTCATCATGCAGCTGCCAAGTAGCTACTGACCTGTTTTCTTTAAGTCTATTACAAAGCTACTGCTGAAGTTGCAACAGGCTGATACCTTGTCAGTAATGTCCCAGCACTACCTATTTGTTACATGTGTACATGTGCCCTCATATAGATGCTGACTATGCAAGTCCCTATAATGGGAAAAAGGGCATTGCTGTGTACCTTGACAGGATATAATAGATGCCTTGGGATGATGCATAGTATCTATGTCTTCATTTATCAGTTTCTTGACATATGCTCATATAGAATTTACAAAGTAACTGGTCATAATTTCAGATACATGTAAGTATTTATGCATTGAAATAAAATGCATTAAGAAAATTCAGTTCTCTTAACTTCCTAATCTCTTGGAACTATAATTCCTTACTAAGTCTTTGTTTAGTATAAATACAGAGTGCTAAGTATTTCCAGTAGTGCCTAGCTCACTTTTCAGTTGAGGTTATTAAGGATTCGTAACAAAGACTCTTTAGGCAAGGGGAGGGCTGGTGTCCCTGTGGTAGCCAAAAATAACAGCGTGGCAGGTGTGACCAGAAGACTAGATTAGCTGGTAAATGTTTGGCTGTGTGGGTACAGAGCGACAGCAGGTATCAGGACATTTGCTTGGGCTCTCATTTATTCTCAGCAGTTATACAATCAGAAATAAAAAAGCTCCAGTACTGGAGCTGAAATACAGTGGGATT